TGCCGCTATTTTTATTTTCTTTTGGAGCAATTGTCCGTGAAGCAAAAATCACGTGCTTACAAACGCCATTCCGAACCGTGAGGAAGATCCATCTCCAGGTATATAAATGCTTCGGATAAGACCGATATCCAGGAAAGATCCATCCCTCAATATAATCAACCGCACTCACTGAGGGTGTGTACAGACTCTGGAGAGGCTCCTACAACCCAAACACTATTATCAACACGGACAACTCACGTTCCATAGTATCAATATCAGAATTCGCACGGACAACTCATGTGCTATAGTATCAATATCAGAATCCGCACGGACAACTCACATGCTATAGTATCAATATTCTCACAATCTGACCGCCGGCCTCACTCAGTCATCAATCTCTCCAATCTCTTTCTCTCTCTCGGGCTCAAAATGTCATGAAACTAGCCGAAAAATGATGATATGATGTATCAATAAATAATAACTGAGACTGAGATATGATATGCATATGAATGCGTATGACTGCGTATATAAAGCAAAGAAAGAAAATAACTCAACAACAGAAATGTCCACAGTGGGTCCCAACAGGATAAGCATGTAGCCTATACATGGTGTCTAACATGGATCACAACTCAATAGCTCAAATACGTAGAAATTTCATGGTTACAGGTAAGATCAGGTAACTACATAGTACCATAGAAATAACGGAGTCATAATTCACACGGTGCACGCCCACACGCCTGTCATCAAGTATGTGTGTCACCTCAACACCAATCACATAGCACGTAATTCGAGCTTTCATATCCTCAGCACTAAGTTTAGAAGATTTACTTACCTCGAACGAGCCAATTCCAATACCGAGCAAGCCAATCGATGCTCCAAAAATGCAATATCGTGCGTACTAACCTTCGAACGGCTCAAAACTAGCCAAAAGCAACTCAAATACATCAAATAATGCCAAAGGAAACAAACTCATCGATAAACGTTAAATTTTTAATCACAAGCCTAAAATCACCCCAAAAGTCCAACCCAGGCCCGCACCACAGAACCCAAAAAAACTCACAAAACCGTCAACTCATTCAATTACGAGTCCAACCATTCTGGTTTCACTTAAATTCGACTCCGAATCAATGTTCAAAACTCGAAAATTTACTCTATGAGACTTTAGGCTAAAACCTCCAATTTTCATCTCAAAATACTTATTAAATGATGAAAACAATGATATATTCATGTATATTAACCAAATCCAAATTAGAATCACTTATCCCGATGAATTTCTTGAAAACTCACAAAACATCGTCACAAAACGAGCTCCCAAAGTACAAAATGTGAAATAATATCCTTACCCTCGTTTATATAGTACCAAAGCTGCCTTCCAAATTGCTGACCGCACATTTTCAAGTGTGGTCGTACATCCATGGTCCTGCAGCTGCACTCCAAATTGTGCAGCCGCACTTCAACAAATTCTGCTCTACCAGGATTTAGTAAAATGGCCTTAACTTTCTATACAAATGGCAAATGATTATTTTCTTACCTTTCTGGAAACTAGGTATGAAGGGGTACAACTTTCATTTTTGAATCATCTCCAAATTCCTTGTAGATCTAAAGATATAAGCTTCCGAAGTCGGACCACCGAATCTGCGAAATCACATTTCTGCGGCCGGGAGAAGAATTCTGCGGACCACACAATTTCGATTGAGGTCCGCATAATTCCTTCTGCCACAGCACTTTGGGGATGTGCGGTCGCACTTCTGCCCTAAAAAATGTGCGTTGCGCACTTCAACTATCCCATAACATCATCAGAAGTGCCGAAATGCCCAAGCTTGTTCAAAACTCACTCTGGAACTCATCCGAGTCACTTGGGATTCCGTCAAATATACCAACAAGTCCCGCAATATAATACGGACTTACTCGAGGTCTCAAATCACACCTAACAAGGATAAAACACGAATCACACATCGATTCAAGTATAAGAACTTATGAACTTCGAAATTTCACATTCGATGTCAAAACGTATCAAAACACGTCCGATTGATCTCAAATTTTGCATACAATTCATAAATGACATAATGAAGCTATTTCAATTTCCAGAATTGGATTTTGATCCCGATATCAAAAAGTCAATTCCCCGGTCAAACTTTCAAACTTAAATTTCCGTTTTTAGCCATTTCAAGCCTAATTAAACTGTGGACTTCCAAATATTTTTCCGAACACACTCCTAAGTACAAAATCACCATACAGAGCTATTGGAACCATCAAACATCCAATCCGAGATTAACTACTAAAAAGTCAAACTTGGTCAATTCTTTCAAATTTAAAGCTTTCTAGTTGATAATCATTCTTCCAAATCAATCCGAATAACTTGAAAACCAAAACCGACGATTCACATAAGTCATAATACATTATACGGAGCCATTCATGCCCTCGAATCACCGAGCGAAGTGCAAATGCTTAAAACAATCGGTCGGGTCGTTATAATTTATCATTAAAATTTACTTATAATTAAGTGTAAAGTAACATGCTTATATAAATATAATTTTGCGCTACAAGATTCATAGAACATAAAAATAATTCCAAAATGGTTAAGAACCTTATACGAGACGGAAAAATTAAAATTCGTTTTTTCAGTTTTTGAATACTATATATCTAATTGCAATGGTAGATGTAACTTTTTAGCTAGGGGTCAACCGAAATTCAGTATTTTGATACAAAACATGAATATATTTTGAGATCATAATTTTAAAAGTATAATAAATTCAATATTACGAATTCAAAAGTTAAACATCAATCTGTCAATTTGAATTGTGAATTTATCCATATCTGATCGTGACTGCAACAAAAATAAACTTAAAACTTAAATTTACCATTCCTGCCACAGAAGAATTTATGCTTTTAATCAAAAGGTAAGGTCAAATCGTCAACTGAGCAAAAGCCAAAAATTGGCAAGCAAGATCCACAAAACGCCAAGAAAACCAAATACATCTGAATTTTAAACTTTATCCAATTAGGATATATCAAAAGAAAACAAAGACTACCTTTTTTCATTATGCCTTTTTTACCCTTCCCTTCGTACGTGTAGCATAAATTAACAGGAAGATGCAGCTTATTTTTCCCAGTTCTTTCGACAACAAAAACCTTCTAATAATTAATCTAAGCTAATTCTTAATTAGTTAACTCTAAACTAACTTAATCACAGAAAATTGTTACGTAGAAACTTTTCTTAGCTACTGCACTCGGATTTTCCATCTTCAATACTCTCCGACCGGTCACCATGACCGGTTCCTCGGGATTCGGGTTCCGGCGAGCTATGAGTATGTGAGTTTGAGGGTGGCTTGTAAATTTGGCCGCCGTGATGGTACAACTGCTGATGCTGGTGGTGGTGCTGGAGGTGGTGAAGCGATTGTAAGGGTTGCGGTGCAGTAGTAGAGTAAAATTCTTGAGCCATTGATCCATGTGGGGCTGCAATGTAATGTGGTGATGGTGCATGGCTAGTTGGATGTGCTCCATATAGGGTGGCTGCAGGTGGCGCACCGCCGTGTGCGGCGGCGGCTGCGTACTCTGGTGGAACCCATATGCCACCTAAAACCACCAGGTGAGGTGCTGATGTTGCTACTTGTGGGCTTGGACTTGGCCTTCTCGTGTGAAGTCTGTACTTCTGTATAAATGACACAAAAAATACAATTATTTTCGCTAGAAATTAACATGCATTGACTCATAAGAAGTTATTAAGTATGTTTGCATGAAATGAAATAATGAAAACTTGTCATATATTTTATCTGATTGCAGGTCACTTCATTATTAGTTTTATATAGAATTACAACTTGTTTGGATGATTGTTATGTATCGTTTCATAATGTATTATTAGTATTACATTATTGTATCGTTTTGATGTATACAATATTTGACTAAATTGTATTATTTGCATTCGTTTCATGATATCATGCACTAACAATATGAAAAATGAACTTGCAATATAATTTTAAAAAAGTAAGGTACGAGGTAAAATTATTATTTAAAAAGGTAGGGTAAAAGATAAAATAAGATTATTTAATAATAAGGAAGGACAATATGAGAAAAAAAAAAGTAATGACGCAACCACATCAAATCAGTTGATCTATAAAGTGACACTTTTCAGCGTTATGTAACGATGGATTTAACGATACGATACAATAAAATTTAAATAACAATTGAAACAAATATTATATTTTAAGTAACAATACGATACAATACACCAAGTAACAACCATCCAAACTAGCTATTAGTATGGTTTTGTAAAAACCATGTTCGTAGATATGCATGATAATTATTAGTATAATTTAGTGTAAACATCCGAATACCAGAAAAGTTTATACTTATATATCAGGAGGAAACCAAGTTTCTGCTGGACTTGCAAAGATAATTAATGCAAAATGAGGAATTTTTTGACACCCCGCCTATTTTGTTTTAGATTTTTGTGCACTAAACTCTAAATGGACAAATTTTACTACAAATGTCCTTAATTGTAACATTATGCAGCAATATATGGTACTACTCCCTTTATTTGTTTTAATTTATGTAATATACTTTTCTTGGGCACAGAATTAAGGAAAAAACTTTTGGAATATTTTAAATTTGCCTTTGAGATTTTTAGGACTATAAAGGAATGTCATTTAGTGTAATAATGAGAATTAAAATCAAATTATTTTCAAATATAAAATATACCACCTCTTTTTATTAAAATAAACAAACAAGCAAATTTTGTGTATCTTTTGTAGAAAAAAGAAGAAGAAAAAGATCACACTAATTGGTTTAAGTTTCTGTCCTANTGGTCAAACCATCAACCTTCATCAGTTCTCTAATTTGTTTTGGAGTAGCCACTGAAATCATTATATTCAAAAGATAGTTAGCCTGCTTTCTTGATTGTTCTCAAAGTAAGAAAGACAACCAAATGATGACATGATGATTTCTTTTTCATTAGAAGATAACTATACGTAATTGTTTACCAGAAGTAGGAATGTTAGCTTAGAAAATAAGACAGATTACTTATTATAACGTGTAAAAAGTACAATTAATAGTGAAAAAAATTCTACAATATCTGTATATATAAGTTAAATTCAATGCAAATATATAAATTCGCCTTTAATGGCCTTACAACCAAAAAAAATAAAAATGAACTTGCCCAAAAACAAAAATAAAACAACCTACAAATAAATAAATAAAAAGTATATGAAAAAATTACGATCTAAGAAAAGTTTGTTCGAGTCTTGAAATTCGAATGGTGCCAGATAAATTGGAAGGGCATAATATTTTTATACTATTAAGTTAAATTACTACCAATGACGTGTATTTCTTAAATCGTAAACAATAACAGATTAAATTATACTGATAATATAAAATAAAAAGGCTTGGTTTGCACAAATATATCTTACCTTGAGAACCACCTAACATCTGAAGAGCATTAACAAAACGCCTGTGTAAATCAGGGGACCAACATCTTCTTGCCTTTCTATGCTGTTGAGTACTTGTACTGTTGGTTACAGCTCCTGTACTTTGAGAATCTGGCTGCTGATTAATATTAGAACCTCCTTTTCCTTGCTCTAATATTAAATTATCTTTTCCAGAATAATTATTCACTGTTTCCAAATTCTTGTTATCTTCAACTATTTCAATACTTTGTTTAGTTGAAGCAAGAGCTAGTGTTGGGCTAGGAAAATTGTTGTCAAACGCTAGTTTTGAAATACCAATATCAGTAATTTCTTTAGAAGATATTTGTGTGGATTTTTCTTTAATTTCTTCACTTCCTGGACTCCATAGTTGTGCAGAAGTCATCCAGTTTGCTTTATTATGATCAGTTGTATTTGCTATAGTTTTTTCATTTTCTTCACCAATTGCATTATTATTCTTTAGTGGAATAAATTCTTCAAGTACTGGTTTTCGTCCTTGATTTTCCCTATAGGATTGAAGTTGTTGTCTTGAAGCTTCCATAGCTGTTATTTTCCAAAAAAAAACAAAAAAAACAAATAATGTTAGACTACTTGGCACAGGAAATAAGATCATTAAATATACCCAATTTAGGGTATGTAAATTTTATGTGCTTTTGTGCTTAATCGAAGGAGCCGAGTCTGTCGAAAACAACTTTTTAATTTTTACAAGGTAGGGATAATGTTTGCATACACACTGCTTTTTTTAAACTATATTTTGTGAAATTATACTGAGTTTGTTTTTGTTATTGTTATTATCATATTAATAAAAGAAATCAAGAATTAACCAAGTACATTTTGAATCCTACTATTCTTGATTTAATATATCACGCACATATAAAGTTGTGAACAGAGAAAACCATTTGAATCTTATAAGCTACAAAATGAAGAATTTAACTTTTATACACGACAAAATTATCTAAAGATAACTACAAGCAACTGTTCATAAAAGTAACGGATTATTAACCTAAAAAATAAAGACATATAATTACATGCTGCAACATATTAAAATAAGAGTAAGAATACATGGAAGAGACTCAAGCTAGTTAAGGAACATGATTATATTATGAATATATTCACTGTTATATTTACCTTACGTAGTTTTAAACTATACACTACTGTTATATATCTTATAGAGAGAAAAGCTTGTAAACCTAGCTCTGAAGGAAATACAACAGCAACAACGACGACTCAGTGAAACCTTATTAGTGGGGTCTAGAGAGGGTTAAGGAGGTTAAGTGTACGCAGACCTTACCTCTACCCCGAGGGATAGAGAGGCTGTTTCCGAAAGACCCTCAGACGGCTATGAAGGAAACATAAGCTTGATATTCTCATGAGGATGTGTAAAATATAATGAAGAGATAGATTACCATTGGTTAAAAGTTGCATGCAAAGAGGAAGTTCACGTTTGAAAGCATCAATCTTGACTCTTTCTTCTTCAAGTCGAGCAACAAATTCTTCTAAATTTTGGGTTTGATCAATTTTTTCACCAAAAGATTTTAGAAGCATAGAATAGCTTTGATGGGGTTTGCATTCAAGGCTTAATTCTGAAGGTGAGGACATCATTATGTCTAGATTTTCAAGATTCAAGATTCACAAATTATGACACCAAACTAAGAGAATTATAATTATATAATTCTCAAACTACAAATGGATTAAAAAGAAGCTAGAAAAATAGTGACCTATTTCTTTCTAGGTTTGAAACACAAGAGTTGGAATAGAGAGAAAGGGAAGAGTTGTTTGTTTATGAACACAATGAGGATCAAGATGTGAAGAGGATAGTGGTCTTTTTAGAGGGTTGAGTTCGAGGGAGAATAAAGTAAGATTCTGAGGTAAGAAAAAAAACAAAGTAAAAAGAAAAAGCAAAGGAAGGATTAAAGAAAGCAAGAAAGAAAAGAAGAGGATGGTAACTTCTTGCAAAGAGCAAAGGTAAAAAGCCATTTGGTAATAAAAGTGTAAAAGGGGTATGCTGTCGTGAGGTATATATGGCTATGCAGTTTCACTTTTATACCTTTAAACCATATCCCAGATGTACGAAGTATTCCGTGTTCATACAGAGTTCTAGTTAGGAAGTGTCGCATTCTAAAAGAATGTAATGTAAGTAGTATATCCTGACACCAATATCAGTGACTAATTCTACGGTTCGAATCTGTATCCTATAGCACACATGGAAACAACTCTATATATTATTATACAACTATACCTTAATAGTGTAAGATTTTTACTATATCTTATCATCTAAAAGATAGCTACAGTTAATTATTTATAATAGATGAAACTAGTTACCTTAAAATAAACACAAATAACTTCAGGTATTAAAAAATTTAAAAGTCGAACTCATCAAAATTTAAATATTGAATCCTTGTAAAATTACAAAAGCTTGAAAGAGTCATGTGATTAGAGAAAAGGAAAGAGCTGATTTTGGAACCTTTGGGACAGTCTTTACTCTTTATACGAATTCAAACCACCGAAATAAAAGATGATTCTCTTCTTCTTCAAATGTTACCTTTTTCCTTTAACTTCTTTTAATCTTTAGCCTACATTTTGCATATCTTTAACTAATATTGCTACAAAAGATTCATTAATTAGTGGTTGTGTTATTCAAGATTCCGACTATAATCCTCCTTTTTGGATTAATGGATATCTTACAGTATGCCACTGAGAAAACGTTTTCAAGAATTTGCTCAGGAATAGTAAAAATTCATTTTCTTCATAACAAATATTCATTCAAAACTCAACTTTCTGCTATTTTTTTTTTTTTTTGAAATCTCTGAATAATTATCAGCAAAATAAAATTGGATCATTCATTTGTTCTGTGTATATACTCACTACTTTCAATCAACCAAAAGCAGAACAAATACACGATTTAAATTATATACCTTACATTCTAAAGATTCTTTTACATTATCAATTCATATTTATTAGTGAATCTACCTGTAATAAGTGACTAAATTGTGTAAAAATTATTACTTTTACGATTAACAAAACTTAAACTCATAAGTAAATCCCAAGAAATAAAGTAGGATTGTGATTAAATGATTCTTCAAAAGCTGTTAGGCACATGCAAGATGCATCAAGTGGATAAAGCCACTTATCGTGTTCATTTCAAAGGAAGCCTAACATCCATGCAACGCTTAGAGAAAGATTTTTTTNTTGTAAGGTAATTAGAGATAAAACAATATAATAACTAGTATCATTTGGTAACTTGATAAAAATAATAACTAAATCTTTATGGTAGACAGAGGCGAAAGTAAAAATTTTGAGTTTATGAGTTCTGAACTCTAGAAAATGCAGCTTACTTGGTGTTCAATAAATTACTAATGTATAGTAAGAGAATTTCTTAACATAAATACATAAATTTGTTTAAAACTACTGAATTATGCTTAACTCATAACGAGAAACTCAAGCTCGGCCCTTAATACTAGGGTGAAATTACACTGAAAGTTAAATAATTACTCCCTCTATTCCAATTTATGTGAAACTATTTGATTGGACACACTATTTAAGAAAAATGAAGATTTTTGAAATTTGTGGTCCTAAACAAGTTATAAAGGAGTCTAGAGTATTCGTGTGGTTATAAAAGCTTCTCATCAAGGGTAGAATTGGAAGTTTAAGCTAAATTATTTCTAAATTTAGAAATGGGTCATTATTTTTTGGAACGGATCAAAAAGAAAATAAGTTCATATAAATTGAAACAGAGAGAGTAATTAATTTATCTTTTATAATACCAGTGTATATAATTTAAATAAAAAAAATACTCCAACATGTAAAAGTGAAATTTAACAAATGTCCAAAGAAATTGTGGTTTTTTTTTTCTTCAAAATACTGGTCATGCTATTTTTTTTATATAAAAATAATGCTATGGCCTTTGATTGACTTATCATGTCAAGTACAACAACAACAACAACCCAGTATAATCCCACAAGTGGGGTCTGGGGAGGGTAGTATGTACGCAGATCTTATCTCTACCCCGAGGGGTAGAGAGGCTGTTTTCCAGGAGACCCTCAGCTCAAGAAAGCACCAAGTGACGATATATTAGTACCATCAATAGACTCATAATAAAATAACATAAAATACATAACATAACATAAATGAACCTAAAATAGCAAAATAACAGCAATATAAGAGAATATATTAAATACGAACGAGATGGAAGGTAAACTAATACCCAGCGCATAAAGCCCTGCATCAATAGCTAACCAGTAGCATCCTAAGCCTAACTCTTAACTGGCTAGACTCACTCTAGTACGTTGTAGAAATCTTCGTAGCGGCCGACAAGTGGCAAGAATTTTACATGGCGTATGCGGTTTGACAGTAGTACTTGGAGTTGTCCTTTTAACAAAGTACTCAAATGCACCAATATCTTTTTTTTAATGTGAATTTTGATTCCAATTCTATGGTTTGATTTAATTAACAATAAAGTTTCTTCCAAAATCATATACCCTCATTACATTATTGTTTTTACCATTTTATAATAAGAATGGGTGAGAAAAAGAGGACATATTCAAGATGGTGCTTAGTATCAATTACCACCAAAGTTAACTTTTTTTTTATTTTTTCTTGAAAAGTTGCATAATTGGTTTTTAGAATTGAGAGAGAGAGTAAAGAGAGAATATCTTATCTGTTCATTCAAATTCATTCATTTGTAAAGAATATAATATTTGCTACTAAGGAAGGAATATCTGGAATTCCAATTCTACGACTCTAAATTAAGGAAAGGTAATGAAGAGAAAAGTATCTCAACCCACGAAGCTTAAAAAGGAGAACAAATTATGTCTCAGAAAAAAAAGTATATTAAAGGAACTTAAGGGATTGAGAATTTTCTTCTGCTAATAACTTTAATGAAGTGGGTAGGAAGGTATGTAGATTCTCCATTTTCATTTTTTCTAATTTAATCAATAATAATAATAATAATACTTTATCTCGATCTCAAACAAGTTACGATTGGATATATATGTATATATGAATCCTCTCTGGCCGTTTAAATTTCGTCTTGTGTTAACTTGCTCACATTATTGCCGATTAGTTTCAAAGCTTGAATAAAGAAAAAGGGTTGCGATAAAGTAATAGCTTGCCGTGTAAAACTAACAAATTCATGATAAATACTCAATTATTTTTTATTTTTTATTTTATTTTATTGATTCTTTTAACAAAAATCAATGGACAGTCTTGATTTTGAGAAAGTTCGGATCTTGACTCAAACTTTTGGTCCAATTTTCTAAGTCATCATACCATAGTAAAGCTTCATAATAATAATAAAAAAAAATGGCCCTTATTCTGTTTTCATATGGTTTCTGGCTATTTGTGGATATATAGTGGGCATGAGAAGATCACTTAAGCGAAGGAATTTTGTGGTTTTGCAAAATAATTCTTTTTAAACTTATTTCAGATCGAATAATAAAAAGTAAATCAATCTAAGCCATTTGATCAATAAGGATGTGATTCAGATGGATCAAGAGAAAACCAGGTATGTTGTAGTCTAGGAAGTGCCGAAGAAGGAGAGAGCAGGCACCAATGGTGAAGCTGAATGCTCGAAGTCATTTTAGATACGACAAGACAACTCATATTAGTTTGTTCTCAAAAGAATGTCATAGTTTTGCGTTTAGAAACAATGTAATTATAAGCTTTACATTTTACCATTAATTATATGCTTTTATAGCAACGATCATGGCATCACTACAAGTTTCATTTTTTATTTTTATTTTTTCTAAATGTCGTACGTACCTAATCAAGTTATGCACATAAATTGAAACGGTTGAAGTATTAAAATTCTTTTTCTATCATATCTCCTTTTTTCTTTCAAAACTATTTTTGGAAGGTTAAAGAGCTTTTGTACACTAACCCTCTACCAATATGAAATTCCACTCAGTAAAAACAGTAACAGCATAGGCCTTTTTATTTTAGGAATATTAAAAAGTGAAAAAGAAAGCTAAGAGAGACTGCATCTAATTCCCTAACTTTTGGTCTTTGCCAAAAGAAAGAAAAAGAGATGTTTTGAAATGTATTGTGAATAATGAAGCTATGTCACTTTCTATAATCAGCCTTCTAGTACAAGACTCCTCAAATCTCCAAAACTCAACTTTTCTGCAGATTCTCTCCAATATATAGCTGCTTTCTTTTTCTCATTATCTACTTTTTATTTTTTTTATTTATTTTAGTTTCTCATATGTCACTACCAAAAAAACTGGATTTAGCTACGAACGTCGTCGCTAATCTGTCGCTAAAATGCTCGTTGCTAGAAGAATCTTTTGATAATCCGTCGCTAATCCGTCGCTAAATGAGATTAGCGACGGATTTTTCTGTTTAGCTACAGATTTTGTCCGTCGCTAAACCCTGATTTTTTTAGTAGTGTGTCAGGTAATTTAGTTTGGAGCCTCAGCTAATTCAGATTTGCGTCGCATAAAGTTCATTAAAAGGAAAAGTATTATTAGATTTTTTTTTATATTTTTAAAGTTTGAACTCAAAACGTTTGGTTAAATGTGAAAGAGATCTTATATATCCCGTCACAACCTTTGGTCGTACTGGTATCTGGTGTTTAATTTGTTAAAAAAAAAAGTGTGTATTTCTCTGTCCTATGCATGAGATTCCCTAGTGACAAGTTTAGGTGATATTCCCAATAAATATATGGTCCTTACTGAATATCCCTTTTGTCTGGTACTCCAATTTTCAGAATATTCTATCCTTCCCACAGTTAGAAATTGGAACAACCCCACTATAGATTATTTATGCTATTATTATTGTGAAAATTGGTCGCCGCTATGGCA